CACTACACCAGAATCTGATTGAGACTTGTTCCAATCCCATGTTTCAGACTCGTTCCCCACAAAGTCTCTGCTGACTTCAACTTTATTAGTTTCTGGACAATAAAGCTTATACGCACCTGTACTGTGGTACCCCACCAACAACATTACTTTGCTTCTATCATCCAGTTTTTGTCTTCTAGCTTCTGGAACGTGTTTGTAACAGACAGAGCCAAACACCTTCAAATGATTTACACTATACTTATCTCCAGTCCATTTTTCTAAAGGAACAACTTCCTTCAGCTTTTTCGTTGGACACCTGTTCAGAATATATGCTGATGTGGCAACAACTTCTCCCTATAGCTCGTGAGGTAGCTTTTTCTCTTTCAGCATGCTTCTAGTCATATCAAGCAAGGTTATGTTTCTTCTTTCAGCAAGACCATTGTACTAAGGAGTATATGGAGCAGTAACCTCATGTTCTATTCCACTCTCCTCACAGAACTTCTGGAACTTTGTAGAGTTATACTCACCTCTACCATCCGTTCTCAGAATCTTCAACTTCTGACCACTTTGCTTCTCAGCCTTCACTTTGAACTTCTGGAACTCAGTAAACACTTTATGCTTGAACTTGATGAGTGTTACCCATGTCATTCTTGTGAACTCATCCACAAAAGACACAAAATATTTGTTTCCTCCAAGTGAAGGTACTGGAAATGGTCCACACACATCAGAATGTACTACTCCCAGAGCATGCTTCGCTCTGGGGGCTACTTCTGATGCAAATGGAAATCTGGGTTGCTTGCCTTTCATGCATATGTCACATGACTTCTCAGGTTTCATAATCTTCGAAATACCATGAACAAGATTCTTAGAACATAAATGCCCTAGGCTTCTATATTTCAAGTGCCCCAACCTCTTATGCCACAGCTTACTGTCACCTTCAGCGCCTTCTGCAGTAAGACACATTGCTTCAGCTGTTTCTACATTTACTTTGAAAGTTCTGTTGCTTCCTTGTTCAGACTTCATAATCATCTTCTGATTGGAATCATACAATGTCAGGAGATTGTTTTTCATAACAACTGAGAAACCATTCTCAATCAGCTGACCCACGCTCATCAGATTGCTTCTAATACCAGGAACATACCAGACGTCTTTGATCAGAATGTCTTTCCCATTCTTTACTCTAACTCTGACATCTCCCATACCTTCTGCATTAAGATACTTATCATCAGTATATCTGATCTTTGTTCTCCTTATGGAGTCAAAGTCTGTCAGCCATTATTTGTTTCCAGTTAAGTGATTTGAACAGCCAGTGTCCATATACCACCAATCTTCTGAACATTTTCCATCAAAATCAGAAGCCATTAGTAACACAGATTCATCATCAGAGTTTCTCTTAGCCATATACGCTTCTTCTGATTTCCTTTCCTTGTTTGACCTACAATCTCTGGAAAAATGGCCAAATTGTTTACAAGAGTAACATTGAACCTTCCTTTTCTCATACCTCTCCTTTCCTTTATGATATCTCTTATCATCAGAAGTTGAGGTTTCTGACTTCTGGAATCTATCACCACGTCTATTCTGCTTCTAGTCTTTCTTGACAAAGGAAGCCTTCAGAGCTTGCTCAGCTTCCCTCTCAGAAATTCTCTCACACAAACGTAACTCATGTGCTTCTAAGCTCCTTTGCAATTCTTCTATTCTCACGGTTTCCAGATCTTTAGAATGTTCAATAGAAACAACAATGTAATCAAACAAAGGAGTAAGCGACCTCAAAATCTTCTCTATGATTACCTGTTCAGACATAGTTTCTCCACACGCCTTCATCTCGTTAGTGATCAGAATCACTTTAGAGATATATTCAGAAACTTTCTCATTGCTCTTCATGTTCAAGTTCTCATATTGCTTTCGCAGGGATTTGAGCTTCACCTTCTTTACTGATGCGTCACCACCGTAACATCTCACCAACAAATCCCACACCCCTTTTGACGTTGTTGAATCAATAATCTTCTCGAACACACTTTTATCCACACACTGATGGATATAGAACATAGCTTTCCGGTCCCTCTTCCTCATCAGCCTTTCAACAGTTCTCTGTTCTTCAGTTGCATCTGCTGCAGCTCGTACATAACCATCTGTAATCAGATCCAGAATATCATGCGCACCAAACAATACACGCATTTGCATCATCCATCTGTTCCAGTTTTTGCCATTAAAAACTGGGAGTTTGGTGTTCAAACTACTGCCTCCACTCATTTTAAATCTTGCGCAGATTTTTCAGATCTTCACACACACTGTTTTCCAATCCACAGAATCAAATTCTGTTCAGATTTTGTTCAAGATTTCAACAGAAAATCAATGAACCAAAATCAAACACACAGCTCACAAACACTCGTGTTTCTCAGGAAAAAACAGAACCAAGTACTCTAGATACCAATTTGTTGGTGCAAGGTAATGAAGTGGGAGAAGAAGAATGAACAAAATAATAACAAGACTACTGTTTGTATTCAAGTAGAGGAGATAAAAATTGAGTACAATATTGATAGGCTACTATAACACATTTATACTAAATATTAAAAATGGCAAAAGACCCTATTAAAGAATAAACATTGGAAATTATAGATATTAACTAAATTATATTTCCAATACGATTTCTATAGTTAAAGAGAAGTATGTTGATATGCCCAGTGGAGTGTGACGTGAATGTTATTTCTTGGAGGTGGACATGTAGCTTGTTCGTTTGGGAGAAAGACTTACTTTTAGATTGATGTACTCTATTAGAGTTTTTATTTGGTATGATATCAAAGCATATAGATGGTTATGGAGACTTAATATGATGGTAAATATCATGTCGAGATGTTTATTGTGTTCAGAACGAGTTTCACTATTGAAAGTGTCCTTGTTCCCATGGAGTGCCTTTTGTAAGAGACTTGCGATTAAAGATAACTTGAATTGATGTGGGATCAACTACAACAACAATTCTTTAAAGATGTTTAGAAAAAGATGAAAAATTAAGCCATCTATTTTTCGAGTGATTTTTTTGGAGGGATATATACACCATCTTGAAGTGGTTGGACACTTATAGTTCTTATCTTATAGGTTTTCTTAATGCTAACAATATATTGAATATAATGTTATAAATAGTAACCAATGTCTAACAATACATTATTACTACTCAAGTAACGTGAATATCATGTGACGTGATATAACTTTTATACAATAATGTTTACGTTTATGATTATCTTTTTACTTTGATATTTATATTAAATATATAAGACATAATTGTGTTACACTTGTATAGTCTAAAATTATATTACTTGATACCTGAAAATACTTGATATATATAAATAATCTCAATATTACATATTAATTTATTTCATTATGACCATATATTTTATAATCATATGTGATTAAGGATTCTGTTGGTATTATTTTTGCATAGGTAGGAGCGACAAATTTCATCTATGTCACTTATACGACAAATTTTATCACTATAAAAAATACGCATGATGCGGCGGTTATATTAGGGAGGTCTTAATAAACCCCTTAGGATTAAAATGCGACATTTCCAATTTTAAGGAATAAATGTTAAATTTGATACTTAATAAACTTCTTTAGCCTGGATATATATTGGATTTTTAAAAATGTTTCATCAATATAAATGCAGAATTATGAACATAAAGCATTGCTGAAACTATCCTGGCACAGAGCAGCTCCATTTCCACAAGAGATTGATTGAACAATTCAATCTCTACTTGGGATTGCTTGATCAATTCTAACTCTTTAAGGTATATTTTTTTCCTCTTGAGAATATACTAGTTATTTTGATTGTTCTCTTGATTGTTCTTAGTGTCATCATAAGAAGTTAATTCCATGTTATTTATATAACATCCGTAGGCCAACAACCTTAATTGAATATGTCGAATTTTACAAAAAAAAAAGTTCACCAATTTACAAAAAAATTTGCCAGTGCCATTAAAATAATTTATTCTTATAAAAACAACTAAAGAAAAGTGGTCTCATATTTCATATTTGATTACATTGAATAAATATTATATTAATATCAAAGTCAAAGATAGATGAACAAGATTATTACTATAATTCAAATGGACTGCCATTTCTAGAGTTCAAAAACTTCACACTAACAATTCCACACATGATAAAAACTTAAGTTAAATACAGAAAACAAAAAAGATGTAAAGAACTATCGACACTAAAAAGATGTAACATAAAAAAAGAATAACTTTTGTCCATCTTCATTGAAGAATTTTACACGAAACTTGAATGTCACCCTTGAAAATTATTCATGATTCACCTGTCAACAACAAGTATTGAATATTTCCAATGTCAATAATAGAAGAAGAAATTTTAATTATTTATAATTAAATACACAACACAAAACAAACAAAAAGTAAGATAGGTAAAGCATCACAATTATTTAGCATTAGCAATCAGATAGATACCATAAAGATTAGGGAGAATGAAATCCACGCATATTTCTCAAGCAACCATTGTTCTTATTATATAGAAAACTAAATAGTAAATTTATTTTGTTCACAAATGTAATCATTTTAAAGATTTTATATTAAAGGAAAATATAAGTAAAAATATTAAATTGAATGGAAATACACTCACAGTATAAATAATGAAATTATAATTGTTAATTTTTTATTTATACAAAACTGACTTTTTTTTTAAATCACATCATAAATTTTTTTTGAGGGTTGTGAATCGTTAATTTTTTTTAGAAATTTAACTTTAAAAAAAAAAATCAAATATAAAGTATTTCTTTTTATGATGAGTAATATCCAATAAAATCTAATAAAATTCATATACTTGGATCTAAGAAATATGAAACAGTTAATTTAATTTAAGGCCATAACTCAAAAGTGAAGTTAATTAAATAAAAAAACAAAAAAAACAAGTATAGAGAGAGAGGAGTGGTACTTACAAAAGGTACATAGATTACTTAGTGATAGCATATATAGCATAGATGATTCCAGGAAGATAGCCCAAAATAGTGAGAATCAAACAGATCCAGAACTCAACCTATAATACAAAACCATCCAACAAATTAATAATCAAGCAATGAAAAAACAAGAAATAAAGGGTTTTGTATTATAGTTACGTTGCAGCCAAATTTGAGGAAGACACCAAGAGGTGGAAGGATGATGGCAAGAATAATATCGATGCAGGTAGCTGTACCCATTTTCTTTTCACTTCAAAATTTTAGAGAGAGAGATGATAGAATAGGAGAGCTTAGTAGTTTAGAGAGAAAGTGAGGGATAGGATAAAAGACGAAAGATGATGGTTCCCATATATAGGACTTGGTGTCGACAGCCAAACCAAACGTTTCCTTTTTTTATTTCTTTTCTACACTACGTGCCTTCTCTACGTTGCAAACAACTCCAACTAATATAAATAAATAAATACATATTAATATATGTAAAAAAATTAAGATTTCATATATTTTACAAATAAATAAGAGTGTCTCGTATTATATATATATATATATATATATATATATATATATATATATATATATATATATATATATATATATATATATATATATATATATATATATATATATATATATATATATATATATATATATATATATATATATATATATATATATATATATATATATATATATATATATATATATATATATATATATATATATATATATATATATATATATATATATATATAATTGAATACAATAATTATTTAATTGACTAATTAATTAAAATAATCTTTATTTTGTCAATTTATTTAATTGACTAATTAATTAAAATAATCTTTATTTTGTCAATTTAACAATTAAAAAATAATTGTGCAGGAAATTTTATCCCTAAATTATAAATTTATTAAAATTTTTAACTAGTGTTTCATAATTATGTGAAAAGTTGAATGATGAATACCTGACCCTCTGGAAACAGAGGGTATTTATAGCCCCCAGCGCTAGGCCAAGGTTCCTTCATTGGGCCGGGCAGGTTTGACCCAATGGAGGAACTGCCAGGTTCTACGTGCGTAGTGGGGACCCGCATGTGGTCCCCTTCCTGGATGTTCTGCGTGTAGTGCGGGCGGACGGAGACGCGGTCTTTCAGGGGTCTCGTTGGGAGAGCAGTGGACTGAGTCTGTCCTAGTTGGGGTGCTCGAGGCAATGTCGAGCTGGACAGCAGGATGTCGAGCTGGACATCAGGATGTGGAGCTGGACCGCAGTATGTCGAGCTGGAGGTGTAGCTGTGGAGCATGTGAAAACCCGTCGGGCACGGCTGTGACGCTTTGGTCGGCGTGGTCCTCAGTAAATCCATTTGGACTGGACCTTAGCAATGCTTTTGGACCTGTCGGGCCCAGTCCAGAACAGAAAGCATCTTAGTGACTATAAAATTGTGGCCTACAAAAAACTCCGCTTCATTAGAATATTTACACAAGTAATGTGTAAGTGTTTTTGTCTATTTTGGGATTTGTGGTGCTTCATGTTTGACTTGTTGTCTTCTACTTCTCAATAGAGATGACAATGAGAATGTCCATTTTGTTTAGATCTGTCCCGCAAAAACATGCAAAGAAATAGGGAGAGCTTTGTTGAGAGTCCAGACCTAAAACTTTGATCCGCCCTACAAAAAATGAGTGCGAGGGGAAGCGGCCCTGTAAGCATTGCACCTTTTAAACTTGAAAATTGTAAATTTTTATGTTAATATCCGTGTCCGCAAAATCCTGCAAAAAAATAGGACGGAACGGGGAGGACATATAAGAGGATACATGCCTAAAACCTTGGCCTGTCCTGCAAAAAAGTGCGTGAAACAGACACACTCAACGAGTTAGGCTCCTTTTCCCATTCCTACTTCTCAGTGTTTGGTTCACTCCGTCCTTGTGTGTGCATCTTTCCAAACCAGTGATTCTAGAGTCTTTGTCCTATTCGACTAATAGCACTATTAACATTGAACGTGCCTGTAAAGCTCAATTATCTAGTCTTATTGTATTTTTATTAATTTTGTAGTCTTTGTGACCATAATAAACTCTACTACACTTGAGAAAAACTCAATTGACTTGAGATCTATTGTATTTATACTCGTCTGACTTTGTATCAATTGAGAGACTTTCTTTTAACCCAAAAGTCGTGTGTATGTTGATTTTGTCTGAAACTTCATTTATTGTTAGAAGTAAGCAAATGCCATAAACGTTGCAATATCGGCTAACCTTTAGACATGAGATGATGTTGCGCAACTGATTACTGGTAATTATTATGTGTGAATAATGGCCATCTTTGCGTTGTAAAACAAAAAACCAGTTGTTATAAACCTTATTTTGGCCTATGAAAAGGAACATATTTAATACCCTTGATTTTCCAACAACCTCTTAGCTCTTTTGAATCACTTAAAAGATTAATCTACCTCGTTATATGGACCCTCCTTGTAAATATATTTAGTCAATGTCACTTTTCCTTTCTTTCTGTTATTTACCTTGATTTTTTTACTTTCCTGAACAAGAGATCTCCTCTTGATCTTCATTCCTTTTTTAGTTTCTTTGATCAAAAGGAGCCTTTCCAACAACATCTCCATATGAAAACCACAACAGTAACTACGATAATGATGACACCATAGGATCCACCTCCCCAATTTCATCCATTCTATTGGTTGGCACACCCTTTGCATAGAACATGTTTTGGTTCATATCCAGGATCTTTTCGTCTCGAGTCCTCCCACATAGATCATCATGGATGTTACCATGTTCCTTTGGTCCTACTTGCACTATACTAAGCATTATAACCTATCAGTTGCTAAGAGTTAGCTCTCTGTAGATGCACAATCAATCTGTTTTAAAAACTTTCCACTTTAATGTATGATTACCTTTCCTCGCTAATTTGGATGGAGATAGCTAAAGGCCAAGCTTAAAAAAAGCAGGGAATATTTGAAATGATCAAACTCTTTGTTGAAAACATGAAGCTGGACATCGAGCATTTTTTAGGCTACTTGGTCAATATATATTTTTAAAAATATTGGTGTTATAAGTAGTAAAAAAACACGGGAAAAAAGAAAGTCTTTTTTAATAAAAAATGTCATTATAAATGTCTTAATAAATTAGGTTTTTTGTTGTAATTTTTACAGAAACTAAAACCTTAGTCCATAAGTCATATGAATCGCCTATGCTTGCCCATCGAGCCCATATCTTCATGTGAAAAGAATGTTTCAGAAATGACGCTTTGTTCACTGTTCTGTCTTTTTTGGGCAACCCATGCTCCATCAAGTATGTTTTTTGTTTTCTCTTATATTTTCACATGTAATTATGAATTGCATTGTTAAAATTTTCACACAAATGTTTTATATCATTTTTTATGACAAATTGAGGGTTTGTTTTATATGATTTGTTGTTATATAAGTTAATAAGTGGTTATGTAAAATAAGTAATTTTTGCACTTATCATTGTTGTTCATTTTTATTGGCTGCATTTGGTAAAACAACATATGTACAAGGTATATTTTGTGCAGAGGAAACATGTGGAACAAAATGTTCTAGCATGTGATCCAGCATCTGAGCATGATTGTGTTTGTTTCTATGAAGAGTTGTTCAACTAAAGTGCTTAAGAAAACTAGTTAAGTAAGAGATTCAAACATGTAGCTAAAGTGATTGAAAAAACTTATTAAGTAATAGGTTTGACATGGGATTGTGTAACATTTTGGCATAAGGTTTGGCTTCTAACTATCTTCATATTTTCTTCAGAAGAGTTGTGGTGTTGGCTTCTTTGGAAGATGCAGAAGTTTACTGTTGAAGGAAGTTTGTCAATTCAAATTTGTCAATTCAAATCAATTTGGGAAGACTTTATTAAATAATGAATATGGATGATATCATTTATTTTAATTTGCTTTGAAGGAATATTTAGTTCAGAGTTACTTTACAAAGAAGATTTATATGTGTAGCGGTAGAAATGTTGAGACTAAACCATTGGATTGACTTAACTCACACAAATCAAATAAAAATTGCCACACACTTTATGGTTTCCAGAGGAATGGGATAAGAGTGAATAAATCCAAAAAGAGGGGGAGAAAATCTAGGTATAGGGGTTGGTTATTTAAAGAGAAGGTATTAGCATCCTAAACATCTATGATACTCAGTGGGAACCTCTTTGAAAATTTGTGTATTTTGGCTATAAAAGGTGTATACAAAAATAGACGGTAAAGATGAGAAAAGAAGTGTTTTTTTTACAATTTTGAACCCGCCGCGGTTGTGAACCTTTAGTGCCTACGTACCACCTTCCTTGCAATAGGGGGTCATGGTACTCATAGTTCACCTTAAAAATTTTAAAACAAAAATGTGTTGGTTAATTTCTAAGAGAAGAGACATCATCGTCATATCCGAGTGGAAAACATACTTACTACCCACAATTATGGGAAAGGAGAATTTGAATCATCTCAAAGTCGAGGATATAGCTTGGATTTTAAAATCAACAAAGCCTCACTCAACACCCAAGTGGAAAATATCTCACTTCACTACATATCGTAGAAGTATAATAGCTTGCATCACTATAATTTTTTATGAATTTTTGAAGTTTAAAACAAATAAAATATAAAATCAGAAAATGAAATAAAGCCAAAAAGATGTGGACCATCTGATCAATGTCAAACGCGTTAGTAAGCAGATCTGAGGGACCTGGTGCGCTGTGCATGTTATGGACCTTATTGAAAATCTCACAGAATTAAATAAATTTGGGGCAATCAAAATAAAACAATTGTCACACTATCATTGATTGAAGAACAACACGTAGATCGTCTTCAACCTCCAGACCTCTGTGCGTTAGGTATTTATGAGATTCTTTAAACAAAATCGTTAGAAGCTCAAAAATGTATCATTAGATTCGTCTCTTCTAGAAGATCCTAACCTTTCCCTCGCAAAAAATTTCTTTAAACCACAACTCAATCGATTTGAGAAAAACCAGAAGAAAAAAGTTGGAAAGGGATTTGAAAATTCATGAGCAAAACTCACTTCCAGTTAAAAACTAATGATGCAATTAGTATCAGAGTAATGAGAGCTACATTATAGCAACAAGTTTAGAGAGAATTGATGGATGAATCTACCTATTGAAGTTTAAATTTAGAGCTCTAAACTTGAATTGGATAGCACGATACAAGGCACCTCAAGGCTTGGTTCTTCTTCTGTTAGCTTCAGGGAAGTTCAAGGATGAATAATCAACAAAGAAATAGGATTGAAAGATGCTTTAGAACAAAATTTGAAGTTCCAGAATTGAGAGGTATGAAGGAAGTTCAACATGGGTTCTTTGGATTTCTAAATCTTATCAAATAAGTGGGATATTGTCCTATATTTATAGATGAGCAAATGGAATGCTCAAGCGTGTGATGTGATGAGATTTCAAGAGAATTCATGTGAAGTTGCAAGCGTGAAAAGTGCGACTCATATTTGCTCAAAACTCAGCCAGAACTTGTGTTTCAAGGTGCTAATCACTTATGGAAGATTGTTAAGCATGATTAAAAGTAAAAACATGCAACAATTTTGTGATTAGAGGCCACATTAACTAATTTGCAATCTGACTATTTTGACAAAATAAGTTTCAAGGTGGCTACTTTGAATCTATGGTGCACCCATGATTCTTGGAGCATTTGAAAGATAAAGTCACAATCTTTACAATGTTCCAAGAAGGACATCATTTGGATACTTGATCAAAAATATATGTCCAATTGAATTTGTGAGAAACACACAAATGTTTTGTACTTAGAAAAAATCTAAGGGTTGAACTTCAAAATGACCTATAATGTTCTTCAAAATTAAATGACTTTCCACTCAAAATTTGGTCTTGATATATGAATATTAAATGAAGTAGACCTCTTTAATTGAATTGGGGAACTAAGATCACTCAAAAATAATAAAAGTTGAAAGAGTTATGGTCTTTGGAAGATGATGAACAAATTTGGGGAAAATCACAAAAGACCTATAATCGTTTCAATTCTTCAATCATTTTTAAAGCATTCATAAGTCTTGCACATAAAAACAAAGTTATAGTAGACATCCCAAAGATTATTGTGGAAAAAGAATGGGATCAAGGAGATAGAAATTGACCAAGTTATGATCATTTGAAGTCAAACCCTAAAATTCAAAGGCCTTTCAAGGAGACTTGTAATATTTATTAACTTTTAGTGATCTTCCATTCAAAATTAGCATTAGACTTATGAAGAGAGCTTGTTAAGGACCCTTTAAAGAGAATCATGGCTTTGGAGTCACTAAAAAATATCAAAAAATGAGCAGGATATGGCCCTTGTAAGTCAACAAACCCTAGCTCAGAGAGTGTCAAAATGACTTGAAACCCCTTTCAACTTTTGATGATTTTTATTGCACAATTGGATATTGTCATGTGAATAGAGGTTGTTGTAGATGATGATAAGAATGCATAGAAAAAAGAAACAACTCCAAATGTTGAAAATTGAGAGAGTTATGCACTTGCTATCACTGAATCTAGTATTTGCTCAATTAGGCCAAACTTGTTGAATCAACCTTGAATCTTTTGAACTTTCTTGGCAAAATAAAGCATGATGAATCATAAGAGGCCTTGAAATGGTGTTGTCTTGAATAACACTCAAATGTGGAGCTTAATTCTCAATGAAGCTTATTGAAGAAGGCATGGAAATAAATACATGAACCTATGAATCTTCTTGATGAATTCCACTACCAACTTTGAGGAGATCTAGACCTAAATAAAGTGAGAGAGCTCATTGAACCACAAATATTTGATGCCATAGACACGACCTTGAAGGTTGAGATCTTTAAATCCATTAGAGAAGCATTTAATTGAGAATTAACCCTCAAACCCTAGATTAAATGGTGAGATGAATGCAATTGTGATCACCTACAATATGGACATTAATAGGAACATATATACACACATTGATGTTAGTTAAAAGAACACATGTACAAGATACACAATCCAAGGTTCTTGATAATCCCTCAAGATCGAACTTAAATATAGGATAAAGAGATAAACAACCTTAATATATGTGTCTTGATGCATTGTGACACGAGATGATGAAAAGTATTATGGGTAAAAATTGAGGTATAATAGCTGCCCTTATTTAAGTGTCTTTTATTCGGAGATACGAAGGTTAAAATCTTCGTATTGACGCGATTGAAGATAGTTAAATACAAAACAAACCCTACTTTTGGCCCTAAGATGCCATGAAATGCTTATAATCGTGAATGCAAACAAATAACTCCAGAGGTGACACAGAATACCACTAGGTAAGCAGAAGATAAAACAATAGATCAAAAAGAGAGTACTACCAGGAAAACAAATATTTGGGGAACAGAAGACTCAACTCTACTAGGGTAAACCCCCAAGAGGAATAAGGCATCACTAACTCAAAAAATGAGGAAAAAGCAATGGATGACAACGATCGACAGATAACTGTGAACTACCCACTCCTTGAGGGGATATCAAAAAGAGAGTAACGTCGACTCACATGGGATAAGAAATTAACGACCCGAAGGATGCAAATAGAAGAGGTAAGATAATACCGATAAATAATAATATTATGGTCGGTAACAAATGATTGGCATCACTACTTATGACTGGAAACAAATGGTTGACGTTACCACTTATGGCTGAGAACAAAGAAACTCTATTAGAGAAAAGTGAATCTCAATAATGAACTATCTCCCATAATGATGAGACTACCATCCATTGAAGTACAAATCTTAACAACAAACTATTTCCCTTATATAAGATACTACCATCCATCGGAGTAAAAATCTCAACAACGA